TTCTGACTAGATACGTAATCAACATATGTTCACAAAGCTGACACTTGAAAGTTTACTGTTCAAGACTTAGAATTACTCAAACTGTTATGAATGTAAAGATATATAAGCTCAAACATAAAAACAAAAATAAAAATATAAATATAAAGAATATTTTTTAAATGTTAATTATTGAGTTTAAATCACTAATTTATTTGTTTCTTCATTCATGCATCTGCTTGTTCATATTGTCATATTTTTATTGATTTTTAATCATGGCATATTTTGTTTGTTTATTAATTTATGTTTTAGTATAATTTGTTCATAAATTACATTTTCTTTTTTGCTCATTAATTTTTCTTTTGTGCATTCATATGTTTATTCATTAGTTAATTTATTGGTATATTCATTAGTTTGAATCTAATTTTTATATATTACACATTTTTATGTATTTTTATAATTCATTTATTATAATTCATTTGTTATTCATTCTTTGATTTATTGAGTTCAGTAAATTTTCCATTCATTCATTCATTCATTCGTTCGTTCATTCATGTGTTTGTTCATTCATTCGTTTGTTTATTAATTTGTTTATGCGTTTGTTCATTCATTCATTCATTTATTTGTTTGTTCTTTCTTTCTTTCATATTTGTTCATTCGTTCGTTCATTTGTTTTTGTTCGTGCATTCATTCATGTGTTTGTTCCTTCATTTATAGTCTTCATTTGCTCATTGTTTTAAATTCTGTTGTTCATTTGTTCATTAGTTCCTTTATTTATTTGTACATGCATTGGTTTGGTAATTTGTACATTAATTATAATCATCATTTGATTAATCCATGTATGCATTTTTTGATTGATTTATTCATTCATTTGTTAGTTATATTGTTTGATCATTTGTTTGTAGTTCATGTATTTGTTCATTAGTTCATTTTTTTTTCCAATTGTGCATTCATTTGTTTATTTGATGGTTCTTTCATTAGTTTGTTTGTTCATTCATTTGTACGCTCATTAATTTAATTTGTACATTAGAATTATTTTTAAATAATTCATTAATTTATTTCTTCATTAGTTCATTCAACATCAGTATAGATACTCTCTATGGAGGACCAAACCTGCAGAAATAAAAAATAAATAAATAAGCAAATAAATAAACTCGGGTGATCAGACCGCAGGCTATTAAATTCACTGTGTGTCAGCACATCTCTCTCTCTCTCTCTCTCTCTCTCTCACTCTCTCACTTTATGGTTTGTTCTATCTTTAGCTCTCTGTGTGATTGAAATAGCTTCTCTCCGGAGGCCAGCAGCTCTCAGTGCACACACACACACACACACACACACACACACACACACTCAGTGGAGCGTAGCGATTGAACGGGGTGAGGTTTCACACAACAGGAGAGTGAATGTGGATCACTCCAATAGGCCCTGCAGGAAAACCCTACAAACCCAATACACACACACACTCTCGTTTGTCGTCTTCTCTTTCTAGAAAGCATCACACACACTCTTTTTCTGTTCTCTCAGAGCCAGAGGTCTGCACAGGGCGCGGGAGGCAGGAGGCCGTCAGAATAATGAGACCAATGAGATCTGTTTTCCCTTTAGATGTCTTTCTTTCTATCTTTGTCTTCTGTTCTTCCTTGTTCTGTAGTTTTATTGCCTCCTCATCCTCTCAAACTCAGAAGTGATGCTGTCGGCCCCTCATTTAAGAAAATCTCTTAAGATCAAGCCCTGCTGGAAAACATCTGCTGCTCGGATCTTTCTCGCCCTGAGATTGTGATGTTCCTGTTTCACATTTCATATGTATGGACATGAATCTGTGAAAATAACCCCTATAAATGGTTATTTTTACACAAAAAGGACGAGATTCCTAAAAATAGCACACTCCATTTCTTGGAGTCTGTGCACAGGATTTCATCAGTCAGCTGGGAAACGAGTCTTTTTGTTTTGAGTGGTAGATAAAATAGATATATCAGTATGCTGTGGATATGAATCTATCTTTATATTCTGATTTTATTTTGTTATTTTTCTTTTTATGTTCATCTATTAATTACATTTTTTTTATTTTTGTCTACACTGTGCATAAAGTGCAACATTTACTTGCCTATTTTTTAATATGTTTGTCCAGTACTTTTTGTTCTATATTGTTTTGTTAGTATGTTTGTTTGTTCATCAGTTTTCATTAGCTAATTTGTTTATTTATTAATATTCTCATCTGTTATGTTGTTATTTGTTATCATTTGTTATTTATATTTTATCATTAGTTCTCTTAATTATTCTCTATACACTACCATTAAAAAGTTTAGGGTTTTCTTTTTCTTTTCTTTTCTTTTTTGAAAAAAAAAAAGCTCAATGTAGCTGAATTAATTTCATGAAATATACATTAAAAACAGAAATATTCTGAAATATTATTACAATTTAAAATAGCTTTTTTTCTATTTTAATATATTAAAGCATTTAATGCTCAAGAAATCATTCTTCTTATTATCAATGTTAAAGCAATTGTGCTGCTTAATATTTTTGTGGAAACTTTTTTTTTCCAGAATTCTTTGAATAAAGTTTTTAAATATAAATATAATAAAAAATATAAATATAAAAAAGATTTAAAATATAAATCTTTTATAACATTATAAATGTCTTTACTGTCACTTTTGATAAATTTAATGTATCTATATACAGAATAAAAGTATTAATATCTTTTAAAAATCGTACTGACCCTGAACATTTGATTAATTTGATTAAATCATTTGTTTATTCATTATTGTCCATACAATAACCTATTGTTTTGTTGGTTTGTTTATTTTGTTCAGTAGATGTTTGTTCATTTTATTAATATGATCATTAATTTGTTACCTGCATAGTTCTGCTTGTCTTTAATTTTGTGCGTTTGCTTATTTGTTCATCTCTTAATTGATTTACTTATTCATTTCTTTCTTTATTTCTTCATTCATCTGTATATTCATACATGCATTCCTTGATAGCTCTTGGATTTTTGTGAGATGCTGTAGTTTATGAGGTTCAAATGTTTTGTTTGAGACACGCATTGCGTGTTGTATACTGTATGCATGTTCTGTTTTGCCCCTTCAGACAGTGTGATTTTGATTTACCCAGCCCTAAACTTCACGTAAAACAGCCATGTTTACATCAGATGTTTACATCACCTGTTTTAGTGGGATGTTCTTGGTCAGCATATGTTATAAAGTGGACCAGAATCCAATCCTTGAGCAGTCTGGCGGTGCATCTTCATGAAAGCAGTTTTCTGTTTTGATGGTTTTTGCACACCGATTACACTTCTGAGCTCCATTTGCGTGATGAGATGACACTCTGTTTTAAACCGTTTGCGCTGGTGAGGTCTGGTAAGACGAGGCAAGATGAGTGACAGCGATGATGGAATTTTAAAAGGTTTCACTGTTGCTTTTTAAGCAGGAAATGCACTTTAACCATTTAAATAATGTTTACACGATGCTCCCCCTTTTAAGTAGATTACAGAGACATGGGGAAAATGGGAAAGTTTGTTCTGGAAGAATCCGCAGTTCTGGCAATATGCAGAGATGCAGGGAAGGCCAAGATGAGACACACACACACACTTTCTCTCAGCCCCCGGACTGACTCAGCTTGTCCTCCTCTTTCTGCATTCACTCCATTCACTCTTTCATTACTCTTTCATATTTCATTACATTATATTAGTTTTTTCATTCTATTTTTTATTCTTTTGTACTTTCTTTTCTGCTGATATTTATCTTCTTTGTAGTCATCACCATGGGATAAAAAAAGAGAGTTGCAATTTTTTTCTTGCAATTCTAAGTTTATATCTCACACTTCTGACTTTTTTTTTGCAAGATAAAACTCTGGAATTGTGAGATATGAAAAAAAGTCAGAAATTTGAAAAAAAAAAAAAAAAATTGCAATTACCTTTTTTTTTTTTGTTCCGTGGCGAAAAAAAAAAAACAGAATAGTGAGATATAAACTCAGATTTGCAAGAAAAAAGTCAGAAATGTGGGGTAAAAGATCACAATTAGCTTTTTCCTTATTTATTATTATTATTATTATTATTATTATTATTATTCATTATTGTGAACTCAGAATTGTGAGAAAAAGCCAGAATTTTATATCTCACAATTCTGACTTTTTTTGTGAGATAAAATAATTGCATATTTGATATAAACTAAGAATTGTAAGATATATACTCAGAATAGCAAGAAAAAAAGTCAGAAATGTGAGAAATCTCAATTACCTATATTTGTTTATTCCAAGGCAGAAAAAAAAAAACATAATTGCAAGATGTAAACTCAGAATTGAGATATAAAGTCAGATTTGCAATAGAAAAAAAAAATCAAAATTGTAAGATGAGAGTTTATGTCTTGCAATTTTTATATTGTTTCTCAGAATTCTTCAGAATTCTTTCCTTTGTACTGGCAATGAAAATAAGCATTTTTTTTCACAATTTATTTACCATTCAAACTGGACTTTCTTTCATTTGTGGAACATAAAGAATTTCAGAGCTGCTTTTTTCCCCATACAACTAAAGCAGAGAGTGACCAGTGGCTTTTAAGCTTCATAAAGGACAAAAAAGTACCATAAAAGTACCAAACAGTAAATATGACTTCTGCACTATACTTCAAGTCTTTTGAAGTCATGACATCTTATTTGGGTCTCTCATACAAAGCTATGAAATGACTGGGGGCAGGACACAAGATACATGGACTACTTATACGGTGCTTTTATGGCGCTTTCATGTTATTCTTGGAGATTGACAGCCTCTACATGCTTTCATGGTATGAAAAAGACCAGCGTCAAGAGTTTCAAATGACGTGGGATATGAGTAAACGACAACAGTTTTCTATTTTGGGTGAGCTGTTCCTTTAATGTTCCTGTTAAAGGTCATGTGATCATAAGAAGCCATTCAGGATTTATGATTTTGTGTCACTGATTTGCTTTCTTCAATTGTAAATGAATTGGTCTGTGCTTCCATGATTCTGGTCTGTTTCAGTGATTAGTTTTTTTTCTCTCTGTCTGTCTTTCTGTAGACACTGGAGGCTGTGTTGACCTTTAAATACAGCGGAGGAGCTGGTCAGGTGGAGGGCTACTCCCGCGAGCTCAGTCTGGGGGTCAGAGTGGATGTTGAACCTTCAGTTTTCTTCACACGAGTCAGCACTTTACCTGCCACCAGGTATCAAACAATATATTTACTCCATACTCAAGAGGCAAGCCTCTGCTTACATGTCTTAAACACACCATATTTAGCTCTTTGTAGCATTTTTTTTTCAGGACAGTTATATTGTTACCCAGGGTTTCTTGCGGTTTAGATTTTTTTTTTTTAATCTGACACCTACAATTAAAGGAATGGTTCACCCAAAAATGGAAATTCCGTCATTAATTATTCACCCTCGTGTCATTCCAAACCCGCAAGACCTTCGTTCATCTTCGGAACACAAATTAAGATATTTTTGATGAAATCCGAGAGCTTCCTGACCCTGCATAGACAGCAACACAACTACCACGTTCAAGGCCCAGAAAGGTAGTAAGGACATCATTAAATTTTAAATATTTAAGACTTAACATTTTAATGCAATATTGTTGATTATTTGATTATTATATAATTATTATATTTTTATTGGTGTGTATATATAGTAATTTATTAAAAGACAATATTTTTAATTATATTACTATTTTTATTCAATAATAATACAATTTTAATTTCATTTAATTAAATTTGATGTATTTATTTGTTATCTATTTTTAATTTTTAAGAATTTTAAGTCTAACATATACAGTATGTTACGGGGCAGTCGGATGGATAGAGATAGACTCTCTAATGGATAGAGAGTCGGACTTGTAACCTGAAGGTTGTGGGTTCGAGTCTCAGGTCCGGCAGGAATTGTCGGTGGGGGCAGTGAATAACCAGTGCTCTCTTCCACCATCAATAACACGACTGAGGTGAGACCCTTGAGCAAGGCACCGAACCCCCCACTGCTCCAGGTGTGTGTTCACGTGCTAATTATTTATGAAAACATTTCATGAAATTCAGTGTGTTTTATAAGGCATTATAAATTCCTTCTATAGAATTCCTTCTATTACACATTATATATACAGTACAGGCTTGATAGGAACGGGAAGCGTTTACACACGTACACTCTCAGACACACTAATGTTCACAGCCTCTTGAAGAATCCACTCGAGCGCGGTGCAGTTCTTCAGCTCACTACCTCTGAGGAGATGAAATAATGTTCCTGAGATGAAAATCTTCTAGACATTTCTGGGCGGTGGGTCCAGACAAATGGCCCATCGTCTGCTCTGAATAATGCAGGCAGAGTAGAGGTCTGTTCCACACCACAGATCTGATGAATACTCATTGGTCTGCCTGGATTATTTCTCTTTAAAGCTTCTTAAAGATGCGGGAAGATGCTTTCCTAACACGTGAAGGGGCCTGTGACTAATGTCTGTGTGTCTAATTCTCACCCACACCTCTTACACCTCTTATAATGTACAGCGTGTGTGTGTGTGTGTGTGTGTTTGACCAAGTAAATTTAACAGGATGTTGAGGATGTTGTCAGTTTAATTACTAAACTCTCTACTAAACACCATTAACACACGCCCACAACACACACTTCGCCATTGCTTTTAGACACACTTAACACACAAATAATACTGGAAGACCATTAAATGAAAAAGAACCTTCTTAAAAAAGCTTTTATCTCTGGTGTGGTGTGAGCGGATGTAGTGAGACGAGGACCTCCAGAGGAAAGAAAACATTAAAATGCCAAATAAAAGAAAGCTACTGTCTTCATGACATTTTATCTTTCACAAATCCAGTGCTTTAAAGGATTGATTAGGGTTCAATACAGCTTAAACTCACAGCTCAAAACATGTGCATTAATTCACTTATAATGGAAGTCTATGGAGCGAAGCATTCAGGATGATTCAAAGCAGAAACGTGCAATTGAATATATTAATTATTCATCGGTATTGTTTTTAGCTATTTTTAGACGTTTTTAGACTTTTTTTTCTCACAAATGAATTTTGTCAGATTTTTTTTTAGATATAAACTCAGAATTCTGAGAAAAACAACTTTAAATTGTGATATGTACACTCAAAATTGCAAGAAAAAGTCAGGACTCTTGAGTTAATATTTCTCAGTTCTGACTTTATTTCTGAATTTAAGTCCGAATTGTGAGATAAAAGTCGTTATTACCTTTTATATTTTATTATCCCATTATGGAAAGAGATTTATTTCTCTCAGTTTGATTTCTGAGAAAAAAAGTCAGAATCATGCGATATGTTAACTCAGAATTGCAAGAAAAAAAGTCACAATTTTAGTTTATATTTCTCAATTCTGAATGTATTTACGAATTTAAGTCTGAGGCAGGCTTCCATAATTCTTTTTTATCTTGTGGTGGAAATGGGCTTCCAGAATTAATATAGTATTTTTTTGTTAAATTATTACATATAAAAATAGTAAATATGGCTGTTTATAATTGTTTTTGAGTCATATAATCGTAACATAAATTTATTGTAAATTTCTGTGTATTTAAATGTTAAGTAGTAGTAGCTAAGAAGTAGTAGTAATTGATAATAGATGGCAATATAATAAATTTATGAAAATCTGTTATTGTCGTTTACATTTTTTTAGATATTTTGTTATAGTAAATAAATATATTAATGTGTATTAAATATATTATTGTTACAGTGGGGGAAATATTTATTTGATCCCCTGCTGATTTTGTAAGTTTGCCCACTTACAAAAAAATTAAGGGTCTGTAATTTTTATGGTAGGTTTATTTTAACGACAGAATGCCAACCAAAAAATCCAGAGAAACACATTATATAAAGGTTAGAAATTGATTTGCATTTCACTGAGTGAAATAAGTATTTGATCCCCAAGCAAAACATGACTTAGTACTTGGTGCAGAAACCATTGTTGGCAAGCACAGAGGTAAGACGCTTCTAGTAGTTGGTCACCAGGTTTGCACACATCTCAGGAGGGATTTTGATCCACTCCTCTTTACAGATCCTCTCTAAATCCTCAAGGTTTCTTGGCTGTCGTTTGGCAACTCGAAGTTCCAGCTCCCTCCACAGATTTTCTATAGGATTGAGGTCTGGAGGCTGGCTAGGCCCCTCCATGACCTTAATGTGCTGCTTCTTGAGCCACTTCTTTGTTGCCTTGGTGGTATGTTTCGGGTCATTGTCATGCTGGAAGTGTTCTGGCTGAGGGAAGGAGGTTCTCGTCCAAGATTTTACAGTACATGGCCTCGTCCATTTGCCCCTCAATGTGGTGAAGTCGTCCTGTACCCTTAGCAGAAAAACAGCCCCAAAGCATAATGTTTCCACC